ATTATACCCGAGTCATCACGTGGTTGTTTTAGGATTATTATATTCTGCTACTATAGAGTAGGCCATGCATTACTTTCCCTCATATACAATGTAGCTCTTCGCTATTTATTCCTTTGTTTACTGGACAAGCATTTATTCCTATACAGTGGTACCTCGGTTCACGAACTTAATTCGTTCCACGATTCTGTGATCAGACCACGATCCCAACTAGAGGAAGCCACGGCCATGTGTCAGAGCGGGGAAGATGGCTGCGTTTTTGGTTCGTCACCCGATGCGGCGTTCGCGAATGGAAGCAAAATTTTGCAGAACTTTCTGTTCGCGAACAGAAGCGTTCGTGAACTGAGGTACCACTGTATTTGCCTTTCCATAGACTTTAAGGGTGGTCACATGTACAGGTATTATTCAACTGCCTACTATAAAATTGCAGGTTTATGTTAATGCAGAATGGAAAGAAAAAAAGTGATGCAGGCTGATGGAGCGGCCTATAAAGTACACTGATCTGGACAAACGAAAATGCCTGATCGATGTCCTTCCATGAGCTGTCAGTATCTGTCTGCCACTATAGATATATTGCTAGATCCAGATGAAAGAAGCCAATTGAATGATGGTCTTCATGTGTTGTGGTACTGTGTGGTAATCTCAATGTAGAATTGGGTGTTATGATCACACAGGACTCTCAGCCAGATGAGCCGAGAGGTGTCAGGAAGCAAGGGTTTGTCTGGATTATGCTTGGGATCCTAGAACTAGGAGGTTTCACGGTGATTCAGGAGGGATGAGATCTCCAGTCATGGGTCCAGGCTTTAACATTGACCAGCACCCAATGAATGCACAGCTGTGCACAGCCATTAAGGAAGAGATGTTGACTGGGGAAATGAGCTCCTGCTGGAAAATTGGAACAGACCGTGTTCAGGGGTCAGGAGGGCTCCCCTAGAAGTCAGAGAGGAGTCAGGTGAGCTCCTGCTGGGATAGGAATGGCCGGTGTTCAGGAGTCAGAAGTTAAAGTGGAGTGAGGTGGTGTGTGTCATACACTTGGCAATTTTTCCTTATTTTCTTAACCACTTTCAACTGAGCTGGCATTGAATTGCCAAGTGACTGAAAGTGAAAATAGACTGCAAGGAGATGCAAGGAGATGCAAGGAGATGCCATCAGCATTTTTTAAAAAGAACATGGTGGAACATTCCAAATATTTTTTAAGGAACTTCCATAGTTCTTTTTAGGGTTTCAATCAATAACCTGTAATAAAGCTGTTAATTTATAGCCTAGGTAAAACAATCAAACAAGAGATCCTGTTTCATCACCCTTTGATGTCTACTCATTTTAGGGCTGCACAGTGGCATAGTGATTACCCCTACCCCGCTTTAAATCCCGGTCAGGACACTATCTGCATGGAGTTTGTATGTTCTCCTTGTGCTTGCGTGGGTTTCCTCCCAGTACTCCGATTTCCTGCCACACTCCAAAGACATGTTGGTTAATTGACTCCTGTCTAAATCAGCCCTGTATGTATGCATATGAGATAGGGACCATAGATTGTAAGCTCGAGGGTAGGGAATGATGTGAATGTGCTACTCTGTAAAGCGCTGCGTAAATTGTTGGCGCTATATAAATACCTGTAATAAATACATTTTGAAATATCAGTCTGGGCGATCTTTTAAGATAAAATGGACTTGTGGCATTTTGCAGTGGAGCAGAATAGTATAAATAACCTCTAAACTTCATGAAAACCAAAATGTGTTCCAACAGAAATGGCCAGGGAAACGTGTAATGACATGATTTCAGATGCCTGCAGAGATGATAGCATGGCACATGCCAGCTTTCCAGGTAACGAGACTCTGAATCGCTGTCAGGATGAGTGCGTAGTGACAAAATCTGCAAAATAAACTGCACAAAAGATATCACACATCATAAATGTTATGTCTCAGAGCTTTACTTTGTAACTTTAAGCCAAGGAAACGTTATCCTGGCAGATGACATTGCCCCAATCAGATGTTTCATATCAAACACATAATACTTTGTCTATTTCACTGTCAGATAGTTATGTGAACGCACATATTTTGCTTCCTAAATACGTTCTCATTTTAAGATGAGTTGATTTTCTATTAAGTGTCATGTTGTAACTACGTCCTCTAGCTGTAGAGGAACTAAAAATTCCAGCATAACCTGCCATCCATTGAGCTTTGTTTTTTTCCCCTCAAGAGGTAGGAAGGGCTGCCATCTGCCTGTTTTATAGAGTGACTATGTGAGATGTTTCTTATAGTGTCCTCACAGGCTGAGCTCTGTGAAAGTCATTATTCTCTACTCTCAGACGCTCCATGGTGTTTGAGGCGGAATGGCGCACAGCAGTCAGAAATTAACTTTTTGCATTTAAAATACAGGGGCGGCTGCATTGCACATAATCTTCAGATTCACTTTGAAATGTCCAAGAAATAGCACTGCAGGATAGTATATAGAACACAGGTTAAAGGTAAAGTGCATTTTCTGAGTTTGGCAGAGATGCAGCAATATCCTGACAGCATTAACATGATTTAATGGTTGGCTTGTTGTCTCCAGCCACTCTTTTAAACTTTGTGCCATAATCACACTGAATGAAGGCCAAGTGATATGGGAGCACCCAAAAGCCAGGGCAAGGTGATATACACCTGTTAGACTTAAGCAGGCTATACACACATCGAATTTCGGCCAGACGAAATTTGATGTGTGGGTACCATTGTTGGCAACCTTCCGACTGACATCCTTTGATCAGCTGATCGAAGGAGCATGTCGAAAAATTCTCAACTAAACAGGGCTAGCAACCAATCAGCTGCTAGCATTGCTGGGTATTCTGACAGCAGCTGGCGGCTGCTGTCAGGATACAAAAGAAACAACAGGAGATTTTTCGATCAACGCTCATAAGCATTGATGGAGGAAGGTTAAAGGAAGAAAATATATGTGTGCATAGCTGATTTAGGACTAGCCATAGATGTGGGCTGAACAAAATAAATCTAACGGATTCCCACAATCACACTAAACAGCACTGAATTTCCACGGCTGGTAGCGGGCACCACGGCTGTCTAACTACCTGAACAGTGTCTGCATTTGACTGGATGCAATCACTGTTTGGCCGACAATTTTCCGACTGGCTCCTTCCGATTTTGCAAATGTTTCAAATTTTGTTGAGTCAGGTGGTGCAGACAGGGTCACCCATGGCTCAAATTTCAGCAGATTCAGCAGGGATCAGCTAAAATTCAAGCCATGTATGGCCAGCTTAAATCTATGAGAAAATTAAATAATTAAAAATGAGTACAAAATGAGTTACTTTCAGTACAAACATCATGTCAAAATGATCAGCAGATGCAGATATATAGGGCTGCTGTAGTCAAATGCAAATTTTAACTTTTCTTAGAAAGCTTCGTTTGGCTCTGCCTCCTCCAATAGCTTCCTATTGTTCCTTTAATGCGACAGATGACCACTGCTGGCCGATAAGTGGGTGGGGACAAGTTTTAATTGCGGCCAGTTTATTGTGCATGCCCCCTACAGTGTTCATTATTGGCATCCATGAAACTACCTTCGTCACTCTGGTATCAGGAGAAAAACCTGATTCTGATCTTTGACTCAATCCCCACTTTTACTAGTGCAAAGTTCACCTATTTGTAGGCGGCTGGGCACATCTCAGATGCAGGGAGTGGACAAGGTCACACATAATATAGGCAGCATGTAAGAAAAAACGTCCTGCAAATCCATGCAGCGTTGGAGAAACAAGGAGCCATCAGGGAAGGACTGAAAGGTTGGTAAGTTTATCTGGAACTTCTCTATCAGTTCTGACATTATTTTAAAAATATACATCAGATCTTGCAGTTCCGCTTCACGTCTACAAGGGGCACTTCAGTACAGAACAAATGAAATGACTCTTGTTTCCTTCAGAAGAAAGAATAAACCATTATAACCATGCTAGATTTGTTTCCCCCCTGAGATATAAGTGTAAGCACGCTGTAAGCAATTATGGCATGCAATTATGGTAAAACCTTTCCAGGTAGTATAAACACATGCTACGAGACCCCTCATACAGAGCATGGATTAATTTGAAGTATCATGTTGCAGCAATCAAGCAGAAAAGATGACCCTGTAATCACCATTCCATCTTAAAACTTAATTGGTTGAAAAACCTCCATTGTATGGATAAAAGATTACTCTTCTTAAATGACCATTTAGCACTGGTACAGCAACAAACGAGTAATACAAAATCAGCAGCAAAACAGCAAAAAACTGGTGGCCACTCAATCAGTTAATAAATAGCAAAGGAGGGTTACACGCAGTTGAGGCAATTCAGAATAAGTAGACGATACGGAAAGCCTCTGTATGCTTTCAGAAGAGAAGGCTATCATGTACAGAGGAATGTAATGCATTCATTGGCCAGCTCCAAGATACAGTGAACACTCCTGGAGTATTTTTAGGTGTAGACACCCTCAAGCCTTGGTGCCCACATTTTTGGGTTTTTAAATGTCCATCATTTATTTTGCTCCAGTTAGCACTTCAAAGGTCATAACATTTGTAAAATTTATAGCATCGTACAACTTCAGAAATCACAAGGAAGTGAGGAACAGGGAGGCCAAGGGCAGTTCATTGGCCAAAATGATATTTTCTTAATATTATATACAGGGTTATTCATAAAGGGGTGAAGGGTTTGGAGAAGGCAGGAGAAGGGAACAATCTAGGACAACATCGCTGATTTGGAAACATTCTCCTATTCAGCTCACTTTCCGGTTCAGCTATGTTGTCCTAGATTGTTCACTTTTCCTGCCCTCTCCAAACTCTTCACCCTTTTGTGAATAACCCTGAAAGTGTTTATAACAAATACACTTCAACCAATAAACTTTTGGAACAGTAAGAGTGGGATCTACATTTGTATGGCATGATTGCTGCAGGGGCTCTTTCTTTGTGTAAGCAGCCAATGGTTGTTTGTACCTTATCTGGCTGGCTGGTCAGATTTTTCCTGTGCAAAACACTGAGATAATAAAAATGACAAAAATGGATTAATCATAATTTCCCGGACAGACACGGATGTGTTGGTGGCAAACAGGAATGGCCTGGTCTCTCAGCAGGACCGTCTCCCATGTTCATTAATGCTGCTATAAACAAATGTCAATAACATGGTTGAGTGAAGGTCTCCATGCTGCCCATCTGTGTGTCAGGAAGCTGAAGCCTGCATTAATATTTTATTATATTGTGAGTCTCTTTCATTCAGCTGTGGCTGCTCTGCAGCAGATGTTGCTCATTTGCAGACTAAACCACATGCCTACCATTCTAATGACAGCCAATGCAGAGTGCCAGTCCGGTTTCATGGCTGTAAAAAGACTACTACAACTATCCTAATAAGACCACTGCTTTAGGAAGATACAAAACCCCACACCAACTTCATGGGAAAATACTGCATGATAATTTAAATGATCAATTTAAGTAGAACTTTGTGTAAAATGTTTTTTTAACCCTTGCAGTGCAGTGGGGCTACCACTGCAAAGCAAGGGCTAAATGCTTGTTTTTGTGTAGGGTAAAAAATAAAAAAGTTATACTCGTCAGATCCTCCGAGATGCCTTGTTCTTAGACCGGTCCATGGAGCCTCTCTTCCCCTGCGCTGCAGCAGTCAAAGGTCCCTGAGTTATCACATCCTATATAATAGCCCCACTGCAAGAGTTAAACGTTTTTTTACCCAGAGTTGTTGCTTAACTGCTTTAAGTATGGCTACTGTGCACAAGGTTAGAGCCGCTATTGATGTCTCTATCCCCCTTGAGAAAATTTCCACTTACTTCCTTTGTGCTCACTAGGACAGGAAGTAAACAGAAATCTCTAAAGGTGGAACACAAACAACAATATGAAACAAATCCAAGAGTTCCATATAAAAAGGTAAGTTTACTTTCTTAAAGACAGTGAAAAAAATAACTCACCCACAGCACCCTGCAACTTCCCCCTGGCCCCCGGTGCACCTACACATCTGAAGCCCCACCAGTTGGTGTAGCACCGTACATGGACTTCCCAGCCTCGCATAATAGAATGCTCATAATGCTCATGAATGGCGAGCACTTATTGGTCAACACGGTTACATGACCATGCTAACCAATGAGAAGCACTACTTACTTCCGGGACCTGGTCCCCAGCTCAGAAGTGCTTCTCATTGGTCAGCGTGGTCCTGGACAGTGCTGACCAATGAGCACTTGCCATTTAAGTTATGATCTTTGAAATTACAATAACACGTAACATAAGATTTTAGTTATTGGGTTTACACACTGTATACTGAAACATTTGAAGACAAATAAAATACTGCAGTGGTGAGGAATAGTGGACAAAGCATTCCGACCTGAACAGGCAAACTCATGCTTCTGGACTTCTGCCACGTTCAGTCCTCGGAGGGGAAGAGGCCCGGTACACTGTGTGAATAATCCAATGGTTGGCCGCTGGCGGAGCCACTGAGATAGCCAGGCCAAGTGACAGTCACAAAACAAGTTGTTGGAATGCAGGCGGCTAAAATAAAAATAAACAAGAGGGAGATTAGTTCAGGATAGATAGATCTTTTTGAGGGTTTTCCTTGTTAGGAGAGCATACCTGAGAGCATAACCTCACTGCTCAGATGATGCTCTTCTAACACAAGGAAAATAATTTTACTATTCTTTACAGTGAGGTGATGCTCTCCAGTGACCATCACTCCACTGCTCATCACAATTTTAGATTGTAGCTTAGTACTATTCCAAAGGGATAACTTCTTTTACACAAATATACTCCTGTGTGTGAAGATGTCTGCTGACACCCATATAAGCCAACTGACCCCAAATCTAAAGCAGCAGGGATGCTGCTGAGGTTTCAGGAAAGCTCTTAGGAAACAATGATAATAAAAGATGAACAGTTAAAATGATATATTTGCAAACTTGCTTAAATCACCTTGATTTATGAAAGCAGTGGGTGCTTATGCTTAATCTTGCAAAAATACTACATGACTACTTTGTAATTAACATGTTCCATAGCATGTAGTAGCATGCAATTAGCATGCATCATGGCATGTAGTAGCATGTAATTAGCAAATCACCTTGATTTATTAAAGGAGTGGGCACTTAATGATGCAAAAATACTACATTATTATGTAATTAGGATGTTAATAATTAAAGTAAATAGTTCTCCGTCAAAGTTTTCATTAGCTGTAACAATGGACAATGAAAAGAGTTTAATTTTGCATATGAATGTTGAAAATCAAAAACATTTTATCTAATAATCATAGCTATGTGCAACAGATAATACTAGAAATATGCTGAGATGGGGGGCGTGGCCGGCGGCTTAATGTGAGCGGACGTGTGCAAGAGAGCTCCCGACCTGTATCCTGCCATTGATCCTGGGAGACCCTGTTTAGCCGCCCCTACTGATTGTCGCTTCACACCGGCTGCTCCTGCCATCCGCCCGACCTGTCTGCCATCACTCCTGAATCGCCCGCGGCCGCTATGTCCAAAAAGAAGGACAGTCAAAAAACGGGCCTTGGGCCGCAAGATGGCGGCGGCCCGCACGGAGCTCTGCCCACGATGCCTCAGCACTCCAGGGATAAGGGCAATGATACTGCAGCACGGTTAGAGCGCTTTGCCCGGCAAGCGGACACTCCTGGCAAACAGCCCAGATCCTCCCAAGCCAGGCATGGCAGCGTGACAGGGGAGCCAGAGGAGGAATATCTCTCATCTACCATGCACTCGGCTGCTGACTCAGACAGTTCAGCCACAGAACGGGAAACTGTGAGTACTGCTGTTAAAACTGCTAAAAGCCCTAAGTCCACTAAATCTAAATCTAAGACGCGGGCTATGGTACCCCCTGAACCCACGCTATCTGATGTGTTTACAGCTGTCCAACTATGCAATACGTCCCTTGCTTCACTTACTGAGCAAGTACATGGCATGCGGGCCGACATATCCTTTCTCCGCCATGACCTGCATAAAGTCAGAGAGCGGACAACAGCGCTGGAATGCAGAGTCAGTGACGTTGAGGATTCGAATGCACCGCTATTATCTGAGGTCAAGGCGGCTATGCAGAAAATCGCAGTTACTTCGTCAAAAGTGGATGACATAGAAAACAGGCTGCGCCGCAACAATAATCGGGCGGTCGGCGTTCCTGAACGCGCTGAGGGCAACAGCGCTACTGATTTTATGGAGCAGACTGTCTGTCACCCCTGTTCGCTGTTGAGAGGGCGCACCGTGTCCCTTCTCGCCCCCTGCCACCGGGGAACCCTCCCAGGCCTCTTCTGATCAGGCTCCTAAACTATCGAGATAAGGAGCGCATTCTCCGCAAAGCCAGGGAACTGGGGGAGTTGTCGTTACTGCCCAACAAGACACAACATATATTGGAGCTATTGCTAATCATACTGGTACTGTTTCATGGGACCCTGACACAATCATGAATACATTTAGCAATTTGTATGAATCCCTATATTCCTCTCAGGCGCATTACGCGGAGACCGACCTATTGTCCTATCTCCAGCGTATTAATTTGCCCATCTTATCTGAGGCTGATAGACATGACCTTGAGACACCTATTACCGCGGAGGAGCTGGAGAAGGCACTCTGTGCCTTCCCTAATGGGAAAGCACCTGGCCTGGATGGTCTTCCAGTGGAAGTCTACAAGCAGTATCCGCATTCCCTTCTCCCTACCCTACTTCTGACGTTCAGTGACGCCTTCTCCAGGGGTACGCTCCCGCTCACCATGTATGACGCTACCATTATTGTACTCCCCAAGAAACATAAAGATCTCCTCCTACCAGAATCGTATCATCCAATTTCTCTTCTCAATACTGATATAAAGATTTTAGCCAAAGTACTTGCCAATAGACTATCCTCTAAAATATCTTCCATAATACATCCAGACCAGTCTGGCTTTATGCCTCAAAAGTCTACTGCTGTGAATATTCGCAGGGTGTTTTTGAATATGCAGACTCCGATAGATAACCCTGGCAACAGAGCCCTATTGGCTCTGGACGTGGCCAAAGCCTTTGACAGTGTGGAATGGCGATACCTCTGGGCTGTCCTATCTGCCTTTGGCTTTGGTCCTCGTTTCTGTAAGTGGATTTGCCTTTACTACAAACCAGTGGCAAAGATTAAAATCAATGACAGCTTCTCTTCTTCGTTCCCTCTACATCGCAGCACCAGACAGGGATGTCCGTTATCCCCGTTGTTATTTGCCTTAGCTATGGAACCTCTAGCTGCTCTTATATTCACAGTTTATGGTCAGATCTGCCTCTCAATGCTCCTTGCCCTGCAGAAAGGGATGGGAAGATGATTTGGGCCCTCTCGCTGATGACATTTGGGATGAGGTCCTGGAAAATGTCTCCCAGGTGTCCCTCTCAGCCACACACAGACTGACGCAACTGTTTGTAGTGCACAGGATATACCGCACTCCGGAAATTCCTTTTTAGGATAGGATACCGGGAAGATCCCTTCTGCCCCTAATGCGGATTTCACCAAGGATCCCTGATCCATCTGCTGTGGCGCTGCCCTAAGCTGGTGCGCTATTGGCTAGAGGTCGTCCGCACCCTTAATTCTGTTTTTAATGTCCAGTTGGATCCCTCCCCCCAGTTGTGCCTTTTGGGTGTCTTTGATGATCCATGCTTTGAATCCCCCTTATTGTTGGCTCCTAGACGAGCACTTTTCACAGCCACTCGCCTTATTGTGCGTAAATGGATCTCTCCATCCCCTCCTACAATCTCTGACTGGATGATGGAAATGGATAGAATTATAGAATATGAACGCGTTACCTACCAATCAAGGAGTTCAGAACACCGTTTTTACTCCATTTGGTCTAACTGGTCTTCCCGCCCTGATTCCACTTATACACGCTGCTGGCTATAGATACACTTATCTTTCACAATGGCAGTACTGCCCTACTAGCTTGTATATGTAAGGTGGCCCATCAGTACCTAGCTATTCTTCGTGCTATATCTGGTTCAGTGAGAAAGTGTGGGGAGCGAAGTGATAGACATGTCCCTGTGGTGGGGGTTTGATAATGTTAAGCTTTCTGGTTTTTCTATATGCAATTTTATTTTTGTTTATTTTTTACTTCTGTTTCTTCTTTTTATGGTTTTCTTTTAATATTCCTTATGGTATCCGTTACCGATATGTATGTTAGTTTGACTTCCATGCCTATATATCTGCAGTGATTTCGGACAGTAGGATCTTGATTCCTTCCTGCACTATTTAATGGATGTATAAAACTGTAAATGTTAATAAAAACTACCTGATTAAAAAAAAAAAGAAATATGCTGAGATACATCTTCAAAATTAATTTGAAATTCTGGATTTGATTTGTGCACTTTACAAAATTTAAACCAAGACTAGTTCTTGAATAGTACAAATAATGAAATAATAAAAGAAAATACAATCTTACAAGCTATAAAGAAAATGGGGTCCTAATTTAATTTAATCAGGTACTAGCAGTGCAAATGATTACATCTCTTTGATGCTTCTAAAATGCTTTTATTGTCAGGCTGAATCTCAGCAGCCATAAAGCAAAATGAGAAAATATTTTCTTACGCTGCCCCTAGGGGGCATCATCGGAGACAAAATTCTCACTTCAGCTCATATTAGCATTGACTATGCTTTGATAACAGGCCAACTTTCTACGTAAAGCCCTGATGATATCGGCACATGCCATTAAAATCATAAACAAAATGTCAAGTAAAGCGAGAGATAAATGAAGCACCTCTACAAGTCTGTCTTGAATACTCCTCATTTCACTGAAGTCTTTTAAATAATGTGTTTCTCTATACAGACTCATTACAATCACATCACAGCCTATGCCACTAGATATGGTATTGTCATGTAAATACGAAATAGACTAATTTTTTCCCTCCTCACTAATAATTCCACCTCAGTGCATAGAGCAATCGGCTGAAATAGGATTAGGATATATTACATATTGCATGAGTATCAGACTTATTATTGGATAAAGCTTTTACTGCTTCTTCCTAGTCATGCGTGACATTCCATTTAACGCCAGCCAGATTATACAGAACAGAGTAAAACGTCCCTCTAACCACTGGCGGCCTTCCATTCTGATTACTGCTCACAAGTCAGCTCTTCATTAAAAGGAAATTAATAATTACTGCAAAATTCTAAGAGTTATTTTTACATACGGTTAACAAATGTACAAAGAATCACTTGAAAAGTTTCCTGTTACTTTAGTAAAGGCCATGCTGATGCTATTAGGCTCAATTCACTAAGATGTATGGGCTATTTTAATTTCAATAGTTATTTAATCTTAAAATTTGTTTTAAATATAAAAATGAATCATCATGTTGTCTTCCAAAACGTTAATTTATCTCCACCTAAAATAACTAATTTTCCTGCTCTCCTTAACCACCTCCATATTATAAAAACTGTTGGGGAGGTGGACGTCTGTTTGCGGAATAAATCTTATAAACAGCGCTTCAGAAAACATAGTTGGGTGTCCAGGGCGCCCCTGAATGGCTGTGATCTGAGCTGTCATTGGGCAGCTGAGATTACAGTCAGGATGTATGTCTGTGAAGATTCTCATTCATCCAGGTCATGGTATATCTGTAAAAAATAAGTAGAGGCAACTGGACTTGCTGTATTTTTCTTGAAGACGTTTCACTGATCGTCCAACCAGCTTTCTCAATTCAGAATGACTCGTATAAAAATTCTCTGGGAATAAATATGGTGAATGTTACTCCAGTCCACATAATCTGCTGTAAGTCAGAATGCAGTGACTCAATTAGAGTTACTCTATAACCTGTGATTGCTGTAAACCAATCACAGCCATCACAAGTGTAAAAAAAAAGATCCCATCACCATATCATGTCTGTGGCAATTTAAGACCCCCTACCTTCACCTTCAATCTTCCGATTCTCCTTCCTGCTGTGCTTTACAAACATTCAGTCCATTCACAACAGAGGAAGCATCCCAACCTCAGTTGTGTTTGGGCATAAGGTTGGTAAACATGAGGTTCATATATATGAAGGGGGGGGGGAATTATAGAAGATTTAAGTTCCACTTTAATAGACAACTCAATAAAGCTCTTGGTGATTGCCAGAAGCTAACTCTATTTTAAGGAGCAATATAGACATGCAAAATACTGTGTGCAGCAGACTAAGCTAGACAGTTGGGATAGGGCCTCCACAAAACTGGTCTTCTACCTTGGTGTATGCCAGCTCCTACATTCTGTAGGCCCATCAAAAATGTAAGCTTGTATTTATTCCAAACAGCAGACTGTTTCCGGCAAACACACTAGCTTTGATCACCTGTGTAGCACCTAGGCACCCAGTGAAACCAGTTATGGAAACAGCAACTGAACCCTGGCCCACTGTGGGCAATTATGGCTTAGCATTGGTAAGCAAGGCTGCCCATCAATGTGACTGGCCTGTAACACAGCACAAGTGATTCACAACTGTGTCCCTAGTTTCAAGGATTCCTGGTTCCTTGAAAGTATCTAAAAGCTCCTAATATTTGGAGTGTAAGTTGACATTCTTTGCCTGGAGGTTCATTGAAACCACTAAACAATTTCTTATAACTCGTTGAGGCCAAATAATGTGTAATCCAAGGTTTCATGTGACAACCCCTAAACCTTATTTTCATTTGTTTTTAATACTTTCCAATCTGTAAACCTCAGTATAATTCTTTCTGTGAAGAAATACTGCTTCATTTATTGAGCAACTAGTAAATGATTTTTGGTTAAAAAAAAAAAACATTTTCACCTTTTTTAAGTAGCGTACATTGTAGCAAATAATTGTGTAGCTTATGAATTAAGGCATTTTGCTTCCAGACTACAAATCCTTTATACTTACAATGTCCTCAGTTTGGGCATATGGTTGAAACTGGAGACAGGGATTGTGGTGATGTTGTTGTTATTGAGGGTTCTGTAAGAAAGAAAAAGAACATTTTAATCACACAGGGCTAAAAATGACAGAGGAAAATGATTCCCAGGAGAATTTATACAGGCACATCGCGTTTGCCAAAAATAAAATCTCAGTGCTCAGATATTATGCCTCGCTTTGTTCCCTACGACAAAAATGCAACACAAACCACATACACAACTGACAGCAATTTACCATCTATCCCTCTAATGAATGCCATAAAGAAGAGGAATTCCTTATTGGAGCAAGGGAATAGGACTGCGTAGCTGTGACTTATGCAACCTATCATTACGTACACATTATCCAATATCGCATAACTTTTTCATTCAAGTCGACTACTGAGCTACAGTAAGGTGAAACCATGTAAGATCTGATCACAGGCCAATTCTGCCCATAACTGTTTAGTTAGGTTTGCATCGTTACTGACAAGCTGAATCAGACAACAGCTTATTAATGCTCTGGCACCCCTGCACTAAAATATATTTAGAATTCCCAGTTCCGCCCAAATGCAAAGGCCGTTACAAGGCCAAAAGCTGGTGTCACGTTCCTCTGTTGTATTCTGCATATTTAGAATTCCCAGTTCCGCCCAAATGCAAAGGCTGTTACAAGGCCAAAAGCTGGTGTCACGTTCCGCTGTTGGATTCTCCATAACCTACAATGTAAAATGTTTGGTAAATCCACATGTGAAAGAGTGCCAACTTTCTCAAGCCCTTGTGACCAAATAGACAAAACGCCATGCGATAATCTCATCAATCTAACAGCAGAAAACTTTAACAAGCCAACAGCTGATTCAGTAAAGTGGTGTTCACCAAAAATTGGTTTCTTAACTTTCACCACATAGGTAAATGGCAAGTTGGTCTATATAAATAGAATATGATTTCCGTCCAATTTATGTTAAAATCTTTCTTAGAGAATGTACAAGGTTATAAACTTATTGTTTTTACTTGTACATGATCATCCTATTATTTTTTTTTACAGATAATACAAGGAGCATCTATGAAACTTCATATTAAAAGTATGCTTGGCTTTCTACTAAGAAGGCCCAGTACTAACTGCATGATAACTGGTAGCCTGTGTGTAATTCAGAGGATGAGGATCAGGTCTGTGCTAGGAAAGAGGAATTTGGTGTTTTTTCCTCCAACTCATTAAATCATCTGTGTATTCTAATCCCACCAGCTAATCTCAGCTATATTACAACATGGAATGGTTCATCTGCGTATGTAAGTAGCATTTCTAAAAACAGAAAATTGTATATCAGGTATATTTTTCTATGTATTGTGGCATTGTGAGGCAATACCATGGTGTTAGGTGGCCTCAAAGTCACCCAGGGTTCTCAGCCAGAGGGGCTGAGTGGCTCCAGGAAGACATTACTGGTACCAGGAGAGAACTGCCTTTTCAGTTCTTTCTGGGTTTTCTGGATCAAGGTTGGGATCCTGGAGCCAGGAGATTTCTTAGAGCTCTGGGTGGGAAGAAATCTCCATTCCTGGGTCCATGCTTTGGTGGTGACCAGCACCTGATTGTGCACCTGTTTACATCCCTCATGAAGTGTGTGCTGGGATGTGTTCAGGGCCCCACCTGTGAGTCAGGAGAGCTCCACCCCGGAGTCAGTGTGGAGGCCAGGGCAGCAGGGAGCTGCGGGTTTGTGAACCATATTGAGAGGATTGGCATGTTATTGCTGTTGTCTGGAGGAACCAGACAGTGGCCCTAAAGATTGAGGCCGGAGCAGCAGTGCTGCGAGAGAGACTTGTTAAAAGACTGGGACACCTTGAGTGTACGTGACAACTCGAGGATTGGTGAGCCCCTATCTGTTATGCTACAGCAAGCTATTTATGTTGGATTTCGTGTTATCTATCGTTTTGAAAGCAAATAAACTGCATTGTACTTGCACCTCCGGTCTTCAGTGGAGTGTCCTTGTTACAGTATTTAGACCCAAAAGTATTTGTGAGAAGCAATTATTTATAGGGTTTTACGACTCATGACTAAGACACAAACAAATTCTCAAACATTTGAACTTGACACAAGACATCATACTTACAAGACCTCCAATCCTCGAAGGGCTCGGAAAGCTCCATCTTCAATACAACTGATCTGATTTTTATCCAGTTGTCTAAGAAGAAAGCAATGTATTAGTAGGCATCCTTCCTTCACACAGTTAAACTTACAAACATCAGTGGCTATGTTCTTATTACTGAATACTGCTACTTTCTAGAAGACTGGCCCTGGAAAGTTGTTAATGTAAAGAAAAGTATTAAAGTAATACTCTTTTTCCAATGAAGATGGTATAGGTTCTTGAAGGATCCCTGATACCCTATGAGAGGTGGCTAAATCAAATTTTGGATATTGCCATTGAGAAACTACAAATAGGGAATTTAAAATTATTCTTTTGTCAATGCAGTATATATTCAAAACATTAAAAAAAACACACACAAAGACACACAAAAGACACAAAATGACTCTCAGAGAAGTTATCAGCACAAAGAGAACCCTATTATTCAGAAGTTCAAATGATCAAAGTCATATAAAATGTACAACTGAAATGGATATGTATTTTCGAAAGAGAACATACACAGCAGTACACCAATACCCCCTTCCCATCCAGACAGAAAAGTGTACTTACAAGTTTTTAAGTTCGGTAGCTCCTCTGAAGGTTTTCCTTGGAATCGCCTGGATAACATTTTCACTAAGGTCACTGCAAAATCAAAAGATATTCTCTGTTACTTTGACTTCTTAAAATATTCACAGATGCATATTCTTTTCGAATTAATGTTCTGCTGGACTGTATATATTTTCATTTGGCTCTTCTAAGATTGGTTTCTGAGGTACCCAGAGACATGATAGATTTGCTTGCAGCAGGCATCCTGTTCTTGCACAGAGCTGGCCATACACAGGAAAGACCAAATCAACCAATCTAGATGTTCTCTACTTAGTCATAATTTCCATGTGGAGTAAGGAACAACAGAGACAATTCTACATTAAAGTGACACTGAACTCAGCAGGTAAATCTTAAAATGCATTCAAGTACCTTAACTATTAACAAAAATGTATCTTATTTGTGTATCACTCGGCTGTAGATCCTCAAATCATCTCTGAATTGGTGGTGACACTGTCCTTCCTTCTGGAGGGTGGCTACTTTTGTTCCCCATAGTCCCTGTGTGTGTGGTAAAGTAGCCACCGCTCCAAGCTCACACCTGTGATGGACTACAATCTCACGTTTAGTTTACTTATTTGTATTGAGATTGTAGTCCATCACAGGAGAAAGCTTGGAGCGGTGACTACTTTACAACACACACAGGGACCATGGGGAACAAAAGTAGCCCCCCTCCAGAAGGAAGGACAGTGTCACCACCAATTCAGAGATGATTTGAGGATCTACAGCCGAGTGATACACAAATAAGATACATTTTTGTTAATAGTTAAAATACTTGAATGTATTTTTAAGGTTTAATGCCTGAGTTTACTGTCACTTTAAAGCCTATCATAAGCCAAAATGTTTTATTTTGTTTTGGATAGTGTGGAGAAGGGCTAGAGCCTATGCCAAGTTTTTTTTTTATTGCTGACTGTATCCCAATTAAACCGATTTCTCATCACTTCCTATTACCTGGTAATACAGAATATATTTTGCAATAGGATTATGTGCTATCAAACTACCTCTTTTCTACCTAGGGAAGTGACCGAAGCCAACATGATATTGTAATGAAGCCCTGCTTTAGTGTTTACGCAGTGTAGCAGAAAATAATTTGGACTTTTTCACAGTGCAATAAATATTAGTAGACAACACATTAAGGTTTGAAGTTTCTTTTTTTATCCTTGGTCATAAGGCCCCATGCACAAAGATAATTTTTCTTTTACGCAGCAGTGTTTAAACTCCAAGCTGGTGGCAGTGTGAAATGTAAGCTGCTTGTTAAACAAGTTGTTTATGTTTTAAACAGTCTGCTAGTGGGGAAGGGGTACCGAAAGTGCGGCTTCTCAAGTCCGTAAAATATAAACAAGTGCTGGCAATGCAGTGGTTTGTTTTTTTCATTTTTAAGAGTTCAAATGGAATATGGAAAAGCCATTGTTATAGAAAACATTCATGAGCAATCTTAAAAGGAAAAAAATGTTTGCAAAAATGAGTGCAAAGGCTCTCCCCCAGCAAAACATTTAAAACAGGAGAGACGAGACAAAAATGCCCCAAAAGACGTAGGTGCAAGACAGCAGAGGAACCCGTATGGAAGAAATAAAGTAACCGTTTCTTCAAATTAAACTTTTATTTCATGCAAAATGATACATAACTAACACCATTTCAATGTATTTCTTGTCTCTAGGCTGGCCACTTTATCAGGAGGGTGTGACAAGACACTTTATGGTGAGTAGTAGCGTCTCCTGGCATGTATCACCACCCACCATTATTTAAAACAAACTGGCTGTGGATGGAAGAATCTGACTGGTTAACACAGACATTCAAAACATCCCCGTACGATGCAACCTATTACAAACCTGGACAATTCAAGCTGCACAAATTACGGCAATTCAAAGTCCGTACAATCAGTAGATCCATGCAGGCAGCTGCAAACACATTCACATCAGGACCACTGGTGCACAAGTCAAGCTGGACCACCCTCTATTACACCTCTGAAGCCTGCCTAGTGAGGCCACCCATCACATAAGAGGCCAATGAAAATGCTAGATGTCTATCTGTCTCTGTTTACAATGCTTTCTCAGTCACTAACCCCAAACTAACATGCAGCAAGTGAAGCAAGAATGTCTGGGGGTTGATTTACTAAAGGAAAATAGGCCAATTACATTCCAAAGGAACTTTCCTCTTGCTTAGTGAATGTGGTGAAAATTCAGTTTGAAAAGAATACCCAATCATTAGCAAGGAAATAAAAAAAAAGGGGGGGGGGAATTTATCAAACCTGGAGCAGACAAAATCTGGAGCCGATTTGCACTGCAGCCAATCAGCTTCTATCTCTCATTTTCAAATGTTACCTGAGCAAACTGAAGAGAGATGCTGATTGCTTGCCATGGGCAACTGCTCCAGATTCTGTTTGCTCCAGTTTTGATAAAATCCGCACAGTATTTTTGATCGCACAGGATTGGATGATGGAAGTTAGCAGAGCTTTACTTTATTCACTAAGTCAAGGGAAAATTCCATTGCAAAGTGCAAATTCCTTGCAAAGTGAATCACCAGTTTGACTTTAGCAAATCCCCCCTCCTTCCCCCGATCTGCATATTTGTTCCAGGTCAGTGGCTCAAAAAGCTCTTAAATGCCGGATCAGTATTACAGCCAGGCAACTAGTATTATCAGAAGACGTGTCATCCTAACTTTACTACTTAGTAAGACACTGACCTGGAAGTAGCATTTGCATATCAGGTGTCAGTGGATTACTAAGGGTAACTCTAGATAACATTACAGGGAAAATTGATGGAAGAATAAGAGGAGCAGCCCTAGATAGATCACGTGCCTTCAAAAACAGGTCAATGAAGGAAGCTCTCATGTTTCTATCCTGAAAGGTTCTATTTTAAATGTCATAATATCTAAATGATTAGATTAATTACATTAAGCAAATATTTTTTACATGTGTATTTAAAAAAAAAAAAGATTAAATGGTTAAATTTCCAATTTGAAATTCAAATTGAAGCATTTATGTCTTAATTTAAAATGCAACTTGTCTAAATACATGTGTGTTTTGATATCAGCTTCCCCTCTACAGAAACATTTAGACAGGGAGAGGGAAGGCCCCCGTTTGGGGCCAATCAGGTGTCCTGCATAGTCCCTGTGTGTGTTGTAAAATAGCCAACACTCCAAGCGCGATCCCATGATGAACTATAATCTCACATTTAGTACACCAATATTGTATTGAAATTGGAGTCTATCACGGGAGTGAGCTTGGAGTGGTGACTACTTTACAACACACACAGGGACCATGGGAACAAAAGTAGCCACCCTCCAGAAGGAAGGACAGTGATATGCTGTCACTGGTGGTTGAGCTCTCCTTCCCGCACCGCTCGCTCAGCCTCCTGCGACATCCGAGTGCCTCTTCCTGTATTGCTGGCTCAGGTTGTGAACCTGCACACAGACACCATGTATCCATTTCAGAGACAAGGCAGTCTGCTGCAAAACAGAAGTTCTGCCCAGCATGAGAAGAGATACAGATTTAAAAGGAAGAGCAGCAAAGAGAAGGGAAACGACAGTAAGGCACACATTACACTATTGTTTTATGTTAAAAAATCTGAGGGTTTAATGTCACTTTAAATACCTCAACCCCTTTCACTTGGGAAAGCATATTTTGAAAGTTATTCCTCTACTTTTTATATCCAACACAACTCACGTTTTAAATTAAAGTCAACAATAGTCACGAAGGGGTAAAAGTATAGCTGGCTGGTTACCTGACATGCAGAAAGAAGAAAGTTGGCATGCTGCTTGGAGAACATTGTGCAACTCTGTTTACAACTGAATCACATGCAGATGTGTTATAAACTTCTAGAAAAGCCCAGATGGTTTAACACATGTTGCGAGATGGTGATATTGACTGGCAGATTTTGTTTTTTTTATACTTGAACAGATCTTAAGCCAACAATCCTATCTGTGCATGTGTGTGTGATAGATGTTAGACAGATGGATGTATGATGAACAGTTTGCTAATACATGTCAGTTTTAAAGCTTGTGATTTGGGTCTTTTCAACAGGTTTTGCACTTGTAAGTATATTCTGCAAAAATGACAACTAACATTGTGAACAAACACTGTAACACATGAGTATTTTCTATCATTTGTTTATAGCTGTCCAAGAAAAATGTTGATATTCTTTAGGTTTGGGCTGAATTCTTTGTTCGCCATTAAACACTACTAAAGACGGCCACTGTGTGGCAGCAGCAGACTTTGTAGATCGGCTGTAACAAAGCTTTAAAAGGGTTCAGTTATTTGGTGGTGAACTACAGGTGAAACTCGAATAATTAGAATAACGTGCAAAAGTAATTGCAGTAAGTGCTGCAAAAGGGGCCCAAACCAAGTACTGAGTACATATGCATGTTTGTACTTTTCAGAGGTCCGATATTGTTCTATGTACAATCCTTGTTTTATTGACTGCATGTAATATTCTACTTTTTTGAGGTTGTGGATTTGGGGTTCTTGGGGTTTTCATGAGCTGTAAGCCATAATCATCACAATTATGACAAATCACGGCTTGAACTATCTTGCTTTGCATGTAATGAGTCTATCTCATATATTAGTTTCACCTTTTAAGTTGCATTAGTGAAATAAATGAGCTTTGCACGATATTCTAATTATTCGAGTTTCACCTGTATATTCTAATAGAATAAGGATGAAACATTTACTTTTCCAGAAGTTTTCCTAATCTAACAGCAAAGGCCACACAGAATAATGAGAGCAATGGCTGCCTGCTGCTTTTTCAACCTAGATTGCCTCTGTGACTCACTTGCAACGCTTGGAGAATCTTGATAAAAAGCATCAGAAACAGTACAAAACCTCCTCTGTGGTTTAGGATTTCCAGTAGGTGACCACAAACAAGACACTTCGCTGTCACAGGGCCCTGCTCAGTGCTTCTTCAGCCCTGTACTCTCAGTTAAAAGTAAAACAGCAGGGTATTGGGAAGAGAAGCTGCTGTAACTACACAAGTCACTTGAGGCACTAACCCGGTAACTTTAATGAAGATACAAATTCACAATGTTAACTTCAGCCCACATATTAT